CGATACCTGGGTTCTGCATAATTGCTCAGGAGCAGAAAGTTAGCCTCACCCGTCAGCAGGATCATTTTCTCCTTGCCCCCGAAATTGCTACCCGTTTGCATTAACTGAAGCAATGCATGTGTATTATCTCACTGACTCTGTAGCCTGTCTCAGTTCAAAGGCCACCTCTTCACCAGGTCTTTCCAACAGGGAGGCGGTTGAGCATGGCAGTGAAGTGTCAGAGATAACTGGGCTCAAATCCTGCCTTTGTCACCAGCTCTGTGACCTTGGGCAAGTTACTTAATCTTACTTGTAAAATGGCAGCAGTCTCCTTCCTACTTGGTCGGTTTGTTTAATTAAACTTTGAATAAGATAATGTAAGGAAAGCAGTGCTCAGTCTGTTTCAGGCTTTCCTCTGACCACCCACTGCCCTTTACTTGTGTCTCCTAAACAGATACATTGTCTGCATCCTCATGTGCTGCTTCAGTTTGACGAGCGCTTTTGAGCGCTGCATGGGCTCTGGGGGTCTCGCGGGTTCAGCCCCTGCCTGCAGCAGCTGGAATCCAGCCAGAGTGGGCAGCCAGTGATGCTGTGAAGGCCACACATCTGTGCCATGTATGTGCTTTTCTTTTCTTTTTAAAATTACTTAATTAATTTATTGATTTTAGAGAGAGGGGAAGTTAGAGAGAGAAACATCAATTTGTTGTTGCACTTATGCATTCATTGGTTGATTCTTTTTTTAAAAAAAAAAATGTTTTTATTGATTTTTAGAGAGAGTAGAAGGGACAGGGAGAGAGAGAGGAACATCTATCAGCTGCCTCTTGCATATCCCCCACTGGGGATGGAGCCCACAACCCCGGACATGTGCCCTGACTGGGAATCCAACTGGTGACCTTTTTGTGCATGAGACTATGCTCAACCAACCGAGCTACACTGGCCAGGGCATTCATTGGTTGATTCTTGTATGTGCCCTGGAGATCAAACCTGCAACCTTGCTTGGGGTATTGGGGTGACACTCTAACCAACTGAAGGCTGCCATGTGCGTTCTTGCCTTCTCCCCATAGACTATCTGCTCCTTGAAGGTAGGATCAGATACACCTTCTGGAGCTCTTCAGCTGTAGTGACCACATTGCCTGAATTAAAATTAAGGACAGATGGATTGACATGTATGAATATTCTTATGGGGAAAATGGAACATAATATTTGAAGTCTGTGCTGACTTGGAAAATTCAGGAATAAGTTTGCTATTCCACAGCACATAGCAAAATTCTTGGACACTGGTTACAAAAAATTTGTGTGACTGTATTAATAAATGAATGCTTAAGCAGCTATGATTTCAGTGACCTCCAAAAGTTCTCCCAAGTTCCCTAAGGTCTGAGCATCTGAGTTCCTAACATTAAAGTGACTGACAGGGTTAAGACAGATGAAAGGCCCAGGTTAAAAATAAATGCATGTTGCTCAGGAGGAGACCCACATTGACCAGGTTGAAAAGATCAGCAAGTGTCACCTTACAGAGAGAGAGGGCCCCCATGGACAAATGTCTCCATAGAGCAAGAGAGGATTGGGGAGGGTTAGATTTGCCAGAATGGGGCAACATAGAGGAGACCTTGGGCCACTCAGTGAAAGCAAAGGTGTATTGGGGAAGAAGGAGTCCTAAAAGGTGGCTCTGAGGTTTGGAGAAGGGCCTCTTGCACAGGACTGGCCTCTACTCAGCCTTGCCCTCGCTTTTTTGGGACAACCTTGGGCTGGGAGATTGAGGAACACTGTGAGATTAGATTCTATGCTCTTTTACCCCCCCTCTAAAAGTGCTAAATATGTTAAATGACTTGCCCAAGGACACACAGCTGTTCGGTAGCTGACCTGGACACAGAGCCAAATGCCTGTGCCCCTGTGGATGGTAAGCCTCCAACCTCAGTCTAGAAGAACAGCAGCCGCAAAGCAGGAGTGTTAGGGCCAGCCAGGACAGCGAGTGGAGGCATCTTGCCTGCCTGTGTCTTCACAGTGGCCAAGGTGGTGGAAGGTGATGTCTTAACAACTTTCCACCCCCACTTCCCCTCCTGCCCATGTCTGTCAGCAGTCCTGGCTCTGGAATGATGCTGTCCTAGGACAGGCAGTGGGAGGGCTGCCAACAAAGGAGGGACTCCAAGCAAGGACAGGGTCTAATCCCATCAACTTCCTCGAGCAATTAACCCAAAACATCAGGCGGTCCTTGTCCCTACCTTAACCACTTCTTCCTATGTCCTAGTCCAACAGTCCTCCTAATCTTCCACCTAGAAATCTTCCTTTTCAATGGCTCTGTACAGCTAAGTGGACCCCACTTTACCTCCCAGTTTTTCCCATCAAGCCCCTTGGGCTCAGCCGGGTTCTCTCCTAAGTCTCCTTCTGTGTCTCTTCACAGGGTCAGGCTGTCTCTTTCTTATTCAGCTCTGGCTGTCCTGCCACGAGAAGCCTTTTCTGACCAGACCATGGGGACCACCCCTGCTTTCGTCTCTCCCTACTCAGCTTGGTGCCCATGTTCCCACCTTGGATAGTGATGAGGTTCTTCCCAGCCTGCTAGTCTGCAGGCTCTCAGCACAGTGTACAGAGCAGGAACTTAACAACATTTCATGACTTCACAGAAGAAATGAAAGTTTTTGGTTCAAAATGAGAGGTGGCTCTTTGAAAGTACTGACATTGGGTCCCTGGGACAAAGCGAGGGCCTTCAGGAGTGCCATCTTGGGAGGAACCTGGCAACCAAAGACCTCCTGAAGAAGATAGGGCATGCCTGGAGACTCAGTCTCAGGTCATTGAATTATTAATACCATCAACTTCATTTCCATTTAAAATTTTATTACACCAAAAGAAAAAAACCCCAAACCCTCCACAAAACAAACCAACCAACCCTCTAAAAACCTAAATCAACTCAAAGACAGATTATTATCTAGGTATAACTAACTCCCTGCTCCCCAAAACAACCTTACATTAATAAAACCAAAAGAAATAGATATGCCAACTTCAAAAATATTTATCCAAAAAGTAAGGCATCCACTTAAAAAACACACACAACAACAATAATTGAAGGTGGGAAGGAGGTTGGAGGAATGAAAAGAAGGAATAAGAGGATGGTCCCCTGACTCTCCAGGGGCCAGCCCCAGCCTGCCTGGAGTCCACTCAGAGGGACCATAACTCAGACAAAACTTGGCATCTCACCAGTGCAGGGTTAGGCAGGCCGACCAGGAAGCTGGGAGACAAGAGTGGGCCAGAGGGACTTCCTGGGTATTCCGGTTTAAGCAGAAGGGATAGGGAATTGGGGGGATGGGGAGCTCCTGCTTTGGGATAAAAGGATTCCAGTCCTTAGCACAACAGGTGTGGTGGGAAGGCTCAAGGCCCAGGGCAAACACTACCTCCTTCCTTTGGAACACAGGGAAAGGCAGCCTCTGCCAGTCCTCATACCATGGATAACGGGCCTTCCCGAGGGCCTCCAAAGGGGGCACCTTCTGCCACTGCCTTCTCACCCTGCCCTGGAGGCTGTCCAAAGACAGGACAGCGGTGGGACCCGAAAGAGGGAAGGGTTATTTAAGTTGGGGGAGGTGGGAGGAACTGGCCTTCAGAAGGCACCCCTGGGGAGATGGAAAAGCACCCTCTCTCCTGGGAAAGCTTTTCCTACCAGGTCTGCCCTGGAGGTTAGAAATAAGGGAGTATTTTTAGGTCCAGTTCTTGGATGGGCGGTGACTTAAGGCATATTTGGCTCAGGTTTCAGGCCTGAAGGGCTTGGGGAGCCTTCACACCCAGTTCTAGGTCCGGGAGCCAAGGTCCAGGGAGGAGGAAAAGGGCACACGATGGGGCGCAGGCAGTGCTGGCTGCGTGGTATGTGCTGGGAACATAGCTGCAGGGTGGCAGGGTGACAGAGTGACTGTTCCTTCCCAGGGGGGTGGGGAGGGAGGAGGAGCTGAGCAGCTTTGTCATTAGGAGAGAACTTTCTGGCTTCAGGAAGCTTTGGCACCCAGGTGGGGGCAGGCTGCAGGGGGCAGGGGCAGGGGCAGGGCTGGGTTTCTGCAATCTGAGCCTTTCCCAATCTGTTCCACAGTTTGGCTGGGGGTCAGGGGAGGGGCAGCTCCCCTGCTTCATTGGT